TCATCTACCTCATCTTCCTGGTCCAGTGGTCTATAGCACACTCCCACCATGACATCACCCTTCTTACTCTCGCGTCTAAACTTAACACAAAGACTCTCAACAGGCTTTTCTCCAGTTTCATATTGGAACTCTGAGCAATCATACTGCTCTCTTACATACAGTGCAACTCCTCCACCTTTATTCCCCTGCGTGGCCTTCCTGAACCATTTATACCCATCCACGACAGTGCTCCAGTCATGTGAGCTACACCACCACGGTCCCCCTGGTCTGGCTCCTCACATCTTTGCTTCTCTCCCCATTTCAAGTTATCTCCTCTCTCTGGATCCCCACACCTGAATTTTTTGACACTCCTGTGGATTTGATGGAGTCCAGAGGGAACCTCTCTGACACTGAGGGTAGGGTATTCTCAACCAAGGGTCCTCAGCTCTGAAACATGCCTTCAGAGATCAGACTGAGTTTACTTCTAATTTTAAATACCCGAGTGAACACAATAATTGCCAATATTTGATTGTATCTCTCTCCCTTCAATCTTTTCTCTGGCACTTGTTGCTTATCTTCTCGGCTTAGAAGCTCTTTGAAGCATGAGCCATGTCTTTCTGTGTGTGTGTACAGTACTTATCACAATGGGTTCCCATCCTGATAGGGCACTACTGCAATGTAAATGAAATAAAATATTAACTTGAGTCTCACTGCCTTCAAATGCAAGACAAGGCATAGAGGTTTGTTGAACAAGCCCTTTCAGTGAAGATGACCAAAAATGGTCCAGTGACAGCTCTCTTTGGAGGAGCAATTAAGTGGAGAAGAAAAAAGAATAGGAGGGGAGAAATAATAAGAAAGAGTATGGGGAAAAAATCCCTAAAGTAAGATAAAAGAAAGCGCAAAATAATTATGGTTCCTAGGTGGATTCTTGGGCTAATTATGGTTTTAAAACCTTCTGCTTAGGGCCCATATATCACAGTGATGGATGCATCACCTAAACATAGAGAAAAAGAGAGATCCACGGCATTGTACTAATTCACAAAAAAAACAACATAAACTGAAAATCAGTATCTTTCCTGCAGCAGTAGTATAAGTACATTTCTCCCAAGTCATATGATACTCTACACCAAATATTGCCAAGCTGGTTCATTTCCAGCTTCTTTCTTAAAGTACCCAATCAGCAGCTGTTAAAATCAGATTAGATATGTACAGTATGACTTCTTCATCAACCGTTAACAAAGCTCGTTATTTAATTCGTCTCTCAAATTGCATTTAATAGAGACTTAAAGCAATGCCTATGACTGTCACTGGGGTGCCCATTCATTATAAATTTCACTTGCAGGGAGAACTGTGTTTAATCACCATGATTTTTCTCTATCAGTGCCATTTGCATAAGGGCTGGGCAAGCAGGCATGATGAAAAATTGAATCCAGCTAATGTTATTGATTGGGAAGATCTGACCCTGAAACTGAGCTTCATTAATTATCCTGGCTTCCTCTTCAGAAAGCTGAACTATGGAAGATTTCATTACATTACTGCATTGCATGCAGCATCAGTATTGTTCATGGTGCTTACATTATTACATACTCACTCATTAAACGCATGCAATGCTTAATTAGATAGGGACCATATTATATGCTGCTAGACGATATAACTGGGGAATGAATAAAATCTTGGAAATATCTAATTTTATGGATTGCTAAAGACTGCAAAGAAATATCTGGATATCTAATACAAAAGGACAGAAAGATAGATTAAGGACCCTGTTTAAATCTTTGGCTTTTATAGCCTGTTTTTTCAGAGGTGCCCACAAATCCCATAAATATCAGTTTGAGGTACAAGTCCTCTGCACCTCTGAAAATGAGCCCACTAGTGTCCAGTGGATTTTTGATACCAGTCATTCCCAAGGGACACTTGCTGAAATATTTTCTCATTGTGAAACAGCACAGCTGCAAATTCAGCATGGCCAGCTCTCGCGATTTTATTGTGAGTCTTGCAATATTTCAAGTTTTATTGAAAGCTCCGGTTCCTAGAGTCTTGTGATTACGTGAGCATCAAATCTCAGCTTTCATTAAAAAAATACTTACTTTCTAACCCCCATTGTTGTGGAGAAAATGTTGAAAATGTGATCTACGTGTACCCTGACAGCTCAGAAACCAGAAAGCAAATAAAAAGAACCTAAAATTTAATATTTGGGTTTTTAAAAAAAATCTATTGGGGGGTGGAGAGAGAGAGGCAGACTCATGATTTTTGAGCATTTGGGGCTGCAACTTTCAGTGACTCCATATAAATCACATAACTGCACCACCAATAAATATTTGCACAGCTGCAAACAAACCGACTTATGCCATTCTGCCACACTTGGGATGGAGTCAGATATGGGTAACTGGAAAATACATGGCACACTAGTTATCTGCTTGTGTTCTGTTGCTGTAGTTTGCAGTGGTCACCATATATGTTTATGGTTTTGAAGCAAGCCTCTGCTGTCTTTCGTTCTAAGGCATGCTGGCTGATTCCACCCCTTCCTGGCTGCTAACAATCTGTTTGCAGTGCGAATATGTGGGACAATTATGTAATGTTTACCATCTTTGGAGACTGTGCAATTGTGCATGCAGAATATGGTTCTCTGTGCACTCTTTGGTGAACATGGAATGAGAGAGAGAGAAATGTACTTCAGACCAAACGGGGACATTTAGCTCCCAGAAACAGATATAAAATATTGATGGCCTTTAACAGAAACCGCTACAATGTTACTGACTGAGTTGATTACAGAAAAAGTCACTTAGGACCAGATTGTGCTCAGCTACTCTGAGCCCAGGCAAGGAGTAGTCCATAATTACAGTCCCCCTGATGCTACTTCTACACCCCTCCTAAGATGTGAGACAAACCACAAGGTTAATAGACCCACTCCCTGTGGTGCACCAACAAGAGAAGCAGGAGCATCAGGCTGGAGAGGGGGCACATTGTTCCCAACAGGCTGTATCAATCAGTTCCCTGTCCTGCCTGCCTGGGAACTTCAAGAAGAGTTTGAACTCCTTATTCTCCATCAACCCGAAAGTTTGTTTGACTCTAAATGGCACTACTGCATCAGTTGTCAGTATAGCTAAGCTCCAAATTAGAATTTCAGTTTACCTAAAAACGTTTCCAAATCTCTGCTGAAAAGAAAGGGGCAGCTGAGAAATCCCTGTGGCTGCCATTTTATTGACAGTTCCAGTCTGCACAGGAAGCAGAGACAATTGACATGAACAGCATCAAGGCAGGAGGACAAGATGCAGCCAGAGACACAGGAAACGCCAGAAGGTTTCCATGACCCCTTTAAGATCTGTATTTCCCTCCTAGCTTTGGATGGTTGTCGATACATGCACTAAACCACAACAGAAAGCCAGAAAAGTAGTTCCTTAGTTAATCTTTAAGTTATTGTCTCTGAATGTGTGTGGATTCAAACATCTGAAAGCCAACAGAGACCATTAGCTCATTTAGTCAGACCTCATGTATATCACAGGCCAAGAATTTCATCCAGCTGCCCCTGTATTGAGCCCCATCCCTTGTGTTTAACTAAAGCAGATCTTCCAGAAAAGCATCCCTGCTTGATTTGAAGACTTTAGATGATGGCAAATCCACCACTTCCCTTGGTAGTTTGTTCCAGTGCTTAATGATCGTCACTGTTAAAAAGGTGTGTCTATATTAGGGCATTTTAATGAAATAATTATTAATTTGCTCAACTTTTCCACTGAATAGCTAGAACCTATGTAATAGTCTAATTAATAGTCTAGTGTGTGTATCTCTTTCTCTACAAGCTGCAACAACTCTGAGAATAAAATGGCTGCTGACTGAGTGTACAGAGAGTATAGACCAGGGATCGGCAACCTTGGGCACACGGCCTGCCAGGGTAAGCCCCACGGCGGACCAGTTTGTTTACCTGCCGCATCCACAGGTTCAGCCGATCGCAGCTCCCACTGGCCACGGTTTGCTGCTCCAGGCCAATGGGGGCTGCAGGAAGCGGCAGCCAGTACATCCCTCTGCCCACCAGGGGGCTTACCCTGGCGGGCCACGTGTCAAAGGCTGCCGATCCCTGAGGTAGACATTTAAGGGTGCAGTATGTAGAAACCAAAGGCATCAGAGTTTAATTGTTACAGACACCCCTTATTAGATGTTGATTCTTTTCTCTTTAAAGAAAAAGCAGGGAGCTGGCTACAATAGTGCCTTATGTATTGTTCTTTCTCCTCTGGAGGTCAGGATAGAAATCCCTACATGACACACAAATATGACTTGCATGGGTCTCTCATCCTAGTCACTAATGGACAGTTGTCTACATCACAAAACTTCCTCACAGTATAGCATGGTAATCGGTTTTCCACGTAAGAACTGAACTGGACTGGAATTATAGGGGGAGGGGGTGTCTGGAGGAGATGCTGGTTGGGACAAATGAAATAGCAGGGGGTTTTACACATAGAACTGGCCTACATTTGTGGGCCAAGACTGGAATAGCAAGACTGGAATAGCAGAGTGTAGTGGTGACTCTTGAGCACTGCCAGCCTGCTATAGGGCTGTCTCCAGCCAGCATTGTCAATCACTTTTTCACAAGCCTCAACTTAACACAAATGGTTTAGAAAACAGAGGGGACAAATGCTTAAAGCACATCTATTGAGCCCAGTGTATAATGAGTTTTGCTCATAGGCTAAGCCTCAGGAGAAGTTAGACTTATATGAAAGCCAAGAGAATATTTTTGTTCTCTATATGTTTCCTCTGCCAAGAGTCAACAAAAGCTTAGCTAAATAGAACCAGCCAGAATGTCATTCTCTGTGTGACTAGGAGAGGTGGAGAGCTTTGCACTTTGAATAGTAATAAGTTACTGACTCCTTTTCTAACTGAGGACATCAGTCCCCTCGAACACAGAGGTTCAGCTCATTAAACAGCAAGGGAACCTTACACCTTTGCATTATGTGGTTAAAAGACAGCAAGATCATAGTCAAGACATATGACAAGACAATGAGATATATGATTTTTTTCCAAAGAGCTTTTAATAACCTTAATGGTGTCCAAATATTTTCTGTTTAGTCTGTCTCCCAATGAATCAAAGATCATTTGAATTCCCCTATATTGCCATGATGTTGATTAAAGTAATAAGACAATTGATAACAACATTAAACATGTCACAGCATCATTTGCAGGCTCCAAAGCTCCAGGCAGACCAACTTCCTAAATCAATTAGACTCATGGGGCCAGATTTGTACATGATGGCTTCAGTGCAGTTGTACCAGGGAGGGATTTACTCCATGATGATGTTAAACAGTGGTGAAGCTTTTGATTTAGTCTGCAGCAAATTCATTCCAGATGCCCTCTGTTTCTGAAATCTCCCCAGACCTTCCCCTGTTAATATCAATGGGGCAAAGTCAAAGGAGGATTAAGGTTTCCTGGGACCCTGGGCAAGAGCAGGTGGGGGGCCCCTCCCCTGGGACTCTGGGCCAGAGCAGGTAGGGGACCTCTCCCCATTCCTTCCACCTGTGGTCCCGCCCCCATTCTGCCCCCTCCACATGTGACCCCACCCACGGTTCCACCCTTTTCTCCCCCTTCCTCACCCCTGTTCCACCCAGGGGCCCCACATTCTGCCCCCGCACTGCAGCCCCAAGACTGGAGAAGCTCTGTCCCTCCACTGTGGCCTGGGGGCACAGCACATGACCCCCCATCTCTGAGGCTGCAGCAGGTAGCGAGAGCTCCTCCAGTCCGGGGGCCACAGCGGGGGGGTCCCAGTGCTTCTGCCGGGGATGGTGTTGGGGGGGGGGGCTCTGGGGGCTTCCCCTGCCACCCTCTGGCTTCTGCTGAGGATGGGATGGGGGGCACTGGGGGCTTCCTCTGCCACACACACACCCGGTTTCTACCAGGGACGGAGTTGGAGGGGGAGTGCTGGGGGCTTCCCTTGCTTCCCCTGGCTTCAGCCAGGGCCAGGGGACCGCTGGAGGCTTCCCCTGCAGCCAGCCAGCTTCTGACAGGGTTGGGAGGCACTGGGGGCTTCCCCTGTGGCCCCCTGGCTTCTGCCAGGGAAGGTGTCTGAGGTCACTGGGGGCTTTTCCTGTCACCAGGCCCAGCACAGATGCCAGGAAACAAGTTGAGAGGCACAGGGTGCTTCCCCTTCCACCGCCCTGCCCACCCAGCACTACTTTCCGGGAGCAGGGTCAGGGAGCGGGGGCCTTCCCCACTCACCCAAGCCTCTGGAGCCCGCAGCTGGCTGGGGCTCGTGGGCATGGGCTCCATTGGCTAATCTACCACTGGACAAAGTATACACAGTGCCTGGTCCAACCATTGACTTTGATGATTTGACACCAGAGATGCATTTGGTGCAGTACAACTGAATTGTGACTGATGTCCTCCTTGTGCATTTTCATAAAAGTAATACATTAAATTCATTCTTTATACAACACTTTCATTAGGCTTATAGAAGGAATATTGCCAATGTTATTAAAGTCAAGTACACTTTACAGATAAATACTTAAAGGGATGGCATTGTGCTTAAAGGGACACAGTCCAGATAAAAATAAGGGGCCAGATCCTTGGGTGCATCTGAAATGCACAGAGCACACATTAGCAGATGATGTGCAGAGATGGCCAAAAGCACCTTGTTACACTGCCAAGATACTGGCACTGCTCTGCAGAAGCCACTACTCCTTTGCTGTGCTGGAGTAGTCTGAGGGCTGCTCTGGCTTGCAATGCCCCTATACAGTCACAGGGGGCTGAAAATACATCTGAGAATTGGAGTGTCATACAGGGGTCTCAACCAAACCCCCATTTCCCCTCCTTGTTGTTGGCCTCCTTTCATCTGTGAGAGATGGTGGGAATTGCAGCCTATGATGAAGATAGTTTGCAATGTCCCGCCTACACTGGCAGCAGAAACGGTACGATGCATAAGAGTCCTTGGATCAGCTCTATGTAACCAACCATTCCACCTACACTGCGTTGATCCTCTGAGTTGATTAAATGGCTCAGGGCACAAATTGGCCATAATGTACCAAGGATCTGGCCCAAAATGTAACAGATGTTCTGATCTAGGTTCTTACAATTCACATTAGAAAGAGAAGATTTTTTTAAAATCAAATGCCCCTCTCATTACTGCACCCTGATGATTTGGTTTTATTTTTTGCATGTCTTTCATCGTGAGTAGTGTAGCTAGACTCATCCATTTTATGTTTGTGAATAGTGGGTTTCACTTTTCCAGTTTTTATGCACTAGCACAATCATTTTGCAGTCAGGTAACGTTTCATTTGGGAGGGAAGGGGGGATAGCCTCTTTTTATGTATTGACTGATTTAATTCCTGTACACATTTCTGTTCCTATGAAGTTGTCTTCTCTCATCTCCCTCCCCCTCCAGACTTTTTTTGGTTGGTTGGTCAGCTGTTGTGTTGACAATCTAAGGGCCAAATGAGTGATTAAGCTACAGCCCTGCTTTGTGAACAGTTACAGCCACCCTATAGAGCTTTGAGAGGTGATGTACAATGATGCTCTGGGGCAAGCACAGTTTAATGCAAGGCAGGTGAGTGGCATAACTCCCCTATGCCCTTTTTACAGCCAAGGGAAGTGTTAATCCTGAGGAGTCTTTACCTTCCCCTGAGCACAAGAGTTCTGACTGTACCCCTACAAGAGAGCTTTGCAGGGAGAGGCTCCTTTGTGCACCCATACTGAGTCTGGGCACAATCTGACCTTTAGTGTTGGCTTACCCTACCTCTTTTTTACTCCACATAACACCGTTTTCTTATAGCTGCTGGGAATGCATTTTTTATCATCCAATTGTTAAATGTTTTTGGAGTCTGTTCCAAGGTGATCTCCAGTGACTGAGATGGTTTCTCCAAAGTAGTTTAAAAATGTGCTTCCACAGATTCCTCCTAGGATCTCATTTGTAACTTTTATCACTCAGGTTATAGGGCAAGCCCTGCTGGGGGGTTTTATGACAAAGTTCAAAGGCATATAGACCAAATTTTGATTTGCATGAAATTCCAGTGAGTGCCACCTACTGGATCTGTGCTTCACTTCCCTTTTAAGGAAAAGAAGCAAGTACGTACAATGGCTGGTGTACTCTTGGGCTCATTGCATACAAAAGAAAATTGGAGAATTCCCCTGTTAGTTTGCAAGACTCTCTTTTATTTTCAGTCACAAAGTGTCAGCATTTCAGCCTAAAGAAAGCCCAAAGGGATGTAAAGATTGAAGCTTTATCCAATGTCACTGAAAATAGATGAAATCATAACTAAATACCAGAAGAGCTTTGTTACATTTGGGTGAAACTGAAATGCTGCTGGAATTACCTGCATTGACTGTGGAGTTTATTATTAATTATTATTATTATTATTATTATTATTTATTTGCTTCTTAAAGAAAGCCTGATCCAGACACAAATTTTAAGTGTGCTTCAAACTGGCCTCTAAATTTTGCACTTACATTTACCTGTGCTCGCATCTGACTACTCCATTTGTGAGTGCAACTGACTGCGGTTGCACAAAGTGGTGAGTGCATAATCAAAAGACTTTTTTTTTTTTAGAAAATGGCCCCACACAAGTAAACTGGGCCTATGTGTCTCACTGCAAAAAGAACCTTTACATCAGAGATGGGCAACTGGCTTAGACAAAGCAAGAACTAACTGAACCAGCACCTCCAACACAAATTAAATCAAGCCTGACAAAGTTTGGTTAATTTATCATGGTCCAGACTTTCAGTGCAAACACTCAGATTTAAGCCTGCAAACTCTGGCCAAATTACAAACCCCTTACATTGAAGTTATTCACTCAGACCCCAATCCAGCAAAGCATGTGAGTAGTCACATTGACTTCAGCCATGCAAAGCAGGGAGAATGAGCTGAGAGCCCCCTGCATTCTCTCGTGCTCTATAAGTGAAGGTCCCTCAATCTCCATGCAGGTTGGAACCATTAAGTAGATACAAGGGCTCCTAAACAAGGTCAGTACTTAATCACATGCTTAACTGTAACTTACAGTTTTCCTGTAGTTGACCAGAGAAAGTAACATTTCCCCTCTACTTTTAAGCACAAAATATTTTCCCACAGAAAAAAGTATTTCTCCGGGGGGGTGGGGGGGGCAAGTGAGAGGGAATATGGTTTGGGTTATAGCAAATGCAGCATTTCTTTAATAAAGGGGGCTCATGAGCAACCCTGTCTCTCTAAACAATTTCCAGTAAACTAACCAAATAAACACACAGGCACTGATTCTGCCCTCACTTACACTGGTATATATCAGGAGCAACTCCACTTCAGTCACTGGCATTACATGAGTGTAAGGGAAATCAGGACTTGGCCCATTAACTATGAACTGCCTGTATTTTAACACACTTTTTTTTTTTTGGTAGTTTTCTTTCCACTTCAGTCCATTATGCAGGGCTGTTTGTTTCCTACATCGTGGATAATTAGACTGATAGCACTTGGATGCTTCGGGCAGATCCTAGCAGATTGAATTTCTGGTGATATAGAGCTGTGATGAGACTGTACCAGCAATCAACATTGTTTAGAATCTAAACACATTTCTGTGGTTTCTATGGATTGTTTAGGATCAGAATTATTCTCACCCAGGAGACATAAGACCCAATCATGCAATATGAAGTTATCATTCCCACCCCTCCAATATAAATTTTAATACGTCACCAGTGCTGTGAAGGCTTCTCATCACTTTATAGTCTTCAGGGCTTTTATTTCATGGGTAAATTTTGAACACTGGAGCTGTTGGACTTGTTTAAAACAAGACTCTGGTTTAGGTCCTCTGGAGAACAGGGTTTCAATCAGAAACAAAAATGCACACTGTAGTCAAAAATTTTACTCCCTGGTGTGGAGATTACAGAACCAATGCACAATTTGGCACGATAACATAATAGCCTTTGTGTTCAGCAATGTCAAGGGCTGTCAATCTGGCACCTTCTACCAGCACTAAATTAACATACATGAGGGGCTGTTGGAAACATAATTCAGACACTTCTATTCAGGAACACAGGGAAATGCACACACCACATACAGTATAAAACTGTATCATATTCATTGCCTACCCTGCATAATGAAATGCTTGCAAGGTGTGCTTCTGAGATTGAAAAGAGAAAGTCATGTGTCTTGTAGCCACAGCCTTTCCAGGGCCATCTGTTTCAGCACTATAATGTGTGTGTGTGTGTGTGTGGTCATGCCCTACAAGAGATGTTGCCATTTTGCTTTCAGTTTACTAGATGCAAATACAGAGGAGGAGATGTGAGACTGTCTATCTATCACATTTATATAGCCCCCGTAACCGTAGTAACTGAGTGACTCACTATCTTTAAATCTGTGAGATAGGGCTGTGCTTACTATTAATTGCAGCTGCCACTTTTCAGAGTAACAGCCGTGTTAGTCTGTATTCGCAAAAAGAAAAAGGAGTACTTGTGGCACCTTAGAGACGAACCAATTTATTTGAGCATGAGCTTTCGTGAGCTACAGCTCACTTCATCGGATGCATACCGTGGAGCGGTATGCATCCGATGAAGTGAGCTGTAGCTCACGAAAGCTCATGCTCAAATAAATTGGTTCGTCTCTAAGGTGCCACAAGTACTCCTTTTCTTCTAGCTGCCACTTTGTGATTCATTTCACATGTAGAATGCTACAGAGTGAATTGCTGTGTGCTCTCTCTTTCCCATGGAGATTTTATACATTCGTTTGTATTTCCTGTTTTCCTTATTATGAAATAAAAATCTTCAAGGTATGTCCATTCAGGTTTGGCTTTTTGTGTATGAGAAGGGGAAATGGCATTTTCCTGTAGGGCAAGCATGCGGTAGCTACTGAAGGTGAAAGATAGCTCATATTCTCCACTGTCAAAGGAAGTGATGTTGGTAATTCAGTAGGAACCATTGTTCCCTCTAAGTCAGAATTGAACCAATGCTTCAGACAGAGCTGGGCAAACAATTTATAATGCATTAAACAAATTTTGCTTCTTATTTTGTCTGTGAAATGTCTCTGAATGATAGCAATAAAAATACCTATAGAGCACTTTTCATCAGTAGATCTCACAGCACTTTACAAAGGAGGTCAGTGTCATTATCCTGCTTTTCTCAAATTTGCCTGTCATTCAGAATTATTTGCCAAACAATTTCTGCATATAATTCTTGATCTGGAGTGTTAATGCCATCAGTGCAAGGCAAGTATTCAAAATTTGCAAAACAAACTCTTTTACACCTGCTAAGATTCTATGTTTAAGTCAAATGGTACATTTCCATCTCAGCACTAAATAAACATAAATATTAGAAGCAGATTTCTGCTTGAATACTTGTGATTACAAATTCAATGTTTGTTTTTGCAAAGTACTCTAATATGGACTTCATATTTTCTATGCTGGTCAACATTTCTGCCTTGTTCACTTGACAATTTTCAGTAAGTGAACTTATAAAATTGTCACACACAGTCAAAATGAATTAGTTTTAAAGTGTGAAAAATATTTGAAAGGTTTTTTTTGTTTGTTGTTTGCTTTTGTTTTTATGGTATAAGCCCAGCTCAAAGCTTAGGATAGTTCCTAGAGGTGCTGTGCTGAATGTATTATTTTAGATAATATTAAAAAACTATGTCATGATTACTTAAGCTCATTAAAGATCCCATTATGCTTTTTTGCACTGGCCTGGCAGTTAGCCTTGATGTCCTAGCCAAACTCCAATTTTGGAAATTGCATTTTCCTTACTTAAATTCCCTCAGTCATTACAATATAATATTTTTTCTTCATCTCCTGTTGTGCCTATTAAAGAACTTTATTATTCCACCACTGTGATGGTTGAATTTCAGCAAAGGTGAGAAATTATTTCTGAATAGCTTTGAAATACCACACAAGTAAAAGTGATCTATAAATATAAGTATTACCGGTATTATTAATCCTGCAGAGAATGTCCATTTCAGTAGGTCCTACCTTGATAGCCTTTGATAAGACAAAAAAAAATACACAGTCAGTTAATTTTGAAAACAATATATTCCTAAAGCAGCTGACAGGTAACCCCAAAAAATAAAATTATCCCTAATTTTATATGTCAGTTATTGTTTTTCTACAAGTTTCTTCACATTGACAAAACCCCCAGAAGACAGACTGAGGATTTTTGAGTGATAACTGTTGCAAAACAAGCCATCAGTGAATGAAATGGTCCAACATAGCAGCAAACATTAAGCAAATTCAAACTCAATTCCGCAACCATCTGTGTCTCATTTAAAGCTGATCAAACTGGTGTCTGGGATTTTGACAACAGTAAATTAGAACAGGTTCCCAGCTAATAAGGTGCCCATTTTGTAAAATGGTCATCAAAGACTTTCCTGATTAAAAAAGAAATCCTCTCTTCAAATTACTTTGTAGCAACTGTGGATTTATGAGGATTGTCCCTTAGACTGAAGTTCATGGTTCTGCTTCCATGAATGCATCCTAATCAGTTTATCATTGTTCAATGGGTTTATATTTACTCTTTTCTTCTCCTATACATAACAAGTGAAAAAGATAAAAGTAGATCCATGGACACTGAGCGATAAAGCCATCGTAGCCACCAGATGGCACATATAGTATCACAAAGAGTACATACATACCGGATATTGGACGCACAAAACATGCCCCCCGTGATCATTTGTGGAGGACACACAGATACAGCTCCCCTTCTCCATGTGGCAGGGGATGTTTGGGTGTTATGGTTAGCTTCATGGAAAAGAAGCATCAAAAAGCAGTGTGGACAAAATTCATTCCCTGGTGTGAACGGGCACAGCTTCCACTGCCTTTAGTAGGATGTGCATCTGCCTCCATCAGGCCTGAATTTGGTTCTGTATTCCCAAGAAATTATACAAGAAGGGGAAAGAAATAAAATTAAAACATCCCTCATAGAAAAGTCTTTTCAATTGTAAGAGAAAATTAAGAGTCTTTTAAAATATTTTTAAACCAGTCTGTGGAATTCTATAGTAAGGAAAACAATTCCCCATTAAGTTCTATAGGACAGTTTAAAAATTTTTGTTAAGGAGATCACTTTCTGTTAAAGTATATAGGTTATTAGAATAATTACTAAAGAATCTTGTTTAATTTCTATAGAATCCTATTACTGCCTATAAATCACTATTAATTGGCATTGGCCAGTCTGGAGGCCACCTGTGACTACTACCTCAGAAATGGTTTACTTATGTAAATTTACCCATCCATACCTTGACCCCCAACCCTGTTTGTCTCTTTAACTGTTGTGTCATAATCCTAGATTGGGAGCTTTCTGGGATAGAGACTGTACTATGTGTTTGTACAGCACCTAGCACAATAGGTGTCTTTTGGCTGAGTAGGGCCTCTAGGTGCTACCACCATATAAATAATCAACTGGCTTCATCCCTATTCAGCTCTTCTGGATTTTTGCCAGAAAGGAGAGGAAAAAAAAAAACGAACCTAAGAAAGAGACAAGAATTATTTCTGAGTGTGAGAGTGTTTTATGATGGTGAAAACTGAGTTTAGGACATCTGGTTTAGATGTTCAGACCAGAGGCCTGTGTTGCTTTGTATGAGTGTTTGTGCACACACATAGGAATCAAGCAGTCACACTTTATCAGGCTCCTTCAGTCGGTACATGCAGATGAATGAAGCCTGCTGCAATCATTTGTGTATTTATACACTTCAAACCCTATTATTTATATTCTGGCCAGCTGCACAGTTCACCCAGGTGGCTGGTTTACAGGCCATTAAGGCCTATAAAAGTGAAAAAGTGTGAAGTACCAAAACGGTGGCTCTAATCAGAGCTGCACCGAATGCCTGCCTCCATCTCCTTTGCCGAAAAACTATAGAGCGAGTCTGCAATGATTTAGCCAGGGGAAAAAGAGCCAGCCAAAGACAGGGAAACACTCAGAAATCTGACCACACGCTTCCCTGATCTGAGGCTGCTGAGCTTGACAAACCATGGACACTTGATGCACATTTAGCATTAGTGACTGGCTGATATATGATTTTTAGGCAACATTTTTATTTTCTCTTTCCATGTGCTTTGGTGAAGGATGCTACTGTAAGCCACTAGTGAGTGTGTGTTACAGGTCCCCTTAGCTGCTGATGTGGAGAGGATCTGAGTCTGTTGGAGCCCCAAGTACAGAACTTTAGCTCATGCTTTTCAGCTTTAGAAGTTCCCTGTCCAGTTCCTGGTAAATTGTCCAAGATGGAGGACATCCCATACAATTAAAAAAACACTAGTATAGGAACTTTTAAATCTAGCTAGTGTGGTGTCCTTCATAATGGAGAAGAGAGGACTCTGCTGTAGTAAACACAGAGGGGATGCATACAGACAGTAAGACCTGCTCTACACTAGAAAAATGACCTGTTCTGACAACAGGAGTCACCACTGGTTCAATTGACACGGTTTAAGTGCAAGCATAGCCCAGGATAAATGATGTTCCACTTCATCTAAAAAAAACATGGCTCAGAGGGAGCTGAGCCCTGAGCCTTCAGTACATGAAGACCCCATGGGCCAAGATAGCAGCAGCAGGGGAGCCCTTCAAGTGTCAATGACTCAGTGCAGAGAAACTGGGTTTGGCACCACCCAGCCCCAGACCTCTCTACCCCATGTCCCTCCATACTCATCCAAGATCCTGAAAATGACTTTCCCCGAAATGTTCAGAACCAAGGTTTTGCTTTAGCCTCTTACATATATAGGAATCCATTGTGACACTGGTTCCTGATAGTCTGAACATTCTCCAAAGTCTTAGTTATACAGCTCAGGGGTTTAGTTTGAGCTCATATCTCACATCTGTTAATCCAGGAACTCACCAAGAGAGCTCCAAATAGTTCACATCAGAGGGTACATAATTTAGGACTCTTGAGGCAAATATTGAAAAGTAAAAAGTCTTGAACTGTGCAGGTGAATAAAAGGGGCTTTCAACCTACCTATGCACTGCAAAGATATCTAGAGTTTTGCAATAGGTGGTGAAAAATACCTTAGGAGATAATAAATCTTGATCTTCACCCCTATTACATCCTGTCTGATAGATGGAGAAACTGAGGCACAGAATTACAATGAGGATTTATTCCAAGACACACTGTGAGGCTGTAGCAGAAAACTCAGAGAGACTCAAATATTTTGCTTGTATACAACAGTGTCTTTCATCTGAGGAGCTCAAAACACTTTATAGACATTGAAACTAATTTAGCTTCCCAACATTCTGTGCAGTAGGAAAGAATTATTGTGATAATTTTAAACAGGAAAGATAGAAAGAAAAGGTGTGTTTGTTTGTGTCTGAGACAGAGAGAGATAAAGGGATGTTTGTTCATTTAACACATAATGAGGGTGAAAAATATGCACCATTTAATAATTGTTTGTATTTAGATTTTTTATTAAGAGCAATTTTTCTCCTTCCCACCCTAATTACGGGGCAGACACGCACCAAGCTGTGAGAAGCAATAGAGCTTGAGATCATCCACAGCATGGCAGGTTAATTCTATAAATGCTTCCCTCCCCACCTGTCTCAGCATTTTATGGAAGCCCTAATGTTCTGTTTTCATTCTCTGATGTCTCCTGATTTAGTGCTTCTATTTACGTTCCTTGACACACTTTCACTCTCTCAAGCGGAAGTTGATTAGTTTTTGTTATAACTGTGTGAACTGATCTCAGCACAGAGAGAGAAATGAAAAGATGAGTCGTACCTATTGAAGATTATGGAACTTAATGCAGGGCAAAGTTTATGTTAGACAAAATGCAATCAATAGAACTGGCTGACGGGAAGAGGAGGAATCACAGCATTTTGTGGTGATGAAGTTATTCTAAATTAAAGCCTATGCTGAACTGATTTTGTCTTCTTAAAAAACACTCTGTCCCCTTCGCTCCTCTACCGTCTTATAGTCCTCGGTGAAACCCTCTCAATGGGAAACCTTGCTGCACTACCATGTTGCATTTTAGCAGGTTTGGTGGTTCTTTACTAGGGCAAAAAGCTTAGTGAGATTCAAAATAACATTGACAGCCAATAAGAATTGGTAGTAAGAGGTCAGGAAAAAAATATTTCTATTATACAACTCAGATTTGAGTTCATTTCCCACCTCTGCCACAGATTCTCTATAGGATATTAGGCAAATCTTTTAATCTCTTGCTGCCTCAGTTTTTGAAACTTCTTCTCTGCCAGCTTTGGTCTGTATTGTCTATTTAGATTGTAAGCTCTTAGAGACAGGGAACATTTTTACTATGTGGTTGTGTAGCACTTAGCAACATGAGGCCTCAATCTCAACAGAGATCTCTAGATACTATTGTAATACAAATAAATATGAATAATAATAATGATGATAATAATTAGCTACATTGTGAAGGGCTTTAAACCCTCCCTCAGGCCATCTAGCATTAGCAACCACTGAACTCTGGTTACTGGATTTGATGAAACACTGATCCGTGGGTCTGCATGCATCAGTCTAATTGTGTGCTGAGCCTTTTAAAAGCAGGTATCCCACTTGGTCACATCACCTTTCTGAGGCGACACCTCCCATCAGTCCCTCCTGGAAACAACATCTCCTAGAACTCCCTTTCTTTAAAGGGCAGAGCTCAGAGACCCCGAGGCTATGGGTCTTAAAGGACCTAGCATGCTCTAACTCAGTGGTTTTCAACCGCTTTTCATTTGTTGATCCCTAAAAAAATTTGAAGGGGTCTGTGAACCACAGGTGAAAAACCACTGCTCTAACTCTCTGGTTACATGTTAGGAAGACTGACATTTCACCCCCTGATCTTGGTCTATCTAGACAGATTTACATGGCACATATATACATATGTTTGACTTTCAATTTGATATAATTCCATTATATATGTAACCCTTCTGCCAGGTGGAGCTGGCAGCAGCCAGGGCCGGGTTCAATATCTAGGGGTTTCTTTTCAACAATACAACACAGAACTGGCTCTAGTCCTCTCCCAGGAACCTGGGAAAATTACACACCACCCGTGGCCGCCTATGAG